GAAAATCAGATAAAACTATATACTTATAAAACTGAATTTAATCACTATCTTTAAGATAATTCAATAAATTTACACATCAAATCAATTCTAAAGTTATGAAAAATTATTAAGAGTATATATTCAACTATTGTACTGATAGTATATAATATTCTAATAATTTCATTGACAGAGATGAGAATGAAGTGAAAGTTCAACTCAAGTTAATATATTTATCACTATTATCAGAGACAATTATAAGAAGAAATAATCAAGAAACTCATGATTATAAAATATAGAATTATCAGATAGTTTAATATCTCTGATCACAGTATATCAGAGAAGTGTAGTTTTCATGAGAAAGTAAAGAATAAACTTATATAAGAATGTATTTAGTTGTTTCATGAGTGTTATCAATAATTATTATCAAATTCTGATTATATAAGCAATCACTGAATGAACTGAATGAGACTGATTTTAATCTTCAGTCTCAGTCTTATTCTGATTTTGAAGAAATAATTATCTTTCACAGTTTATTCTGAGAAATTACTCTTATTTCACTGTTCTTGAATTAAATCTGAGCATTTTTCACATTATTTCTCTCAGAAATGATTCATTTTCAGATTTTTTTAAGACTTGATTCTGGTGAGACTTACACTAAGAAATGTATGAGATCAGATCAAATGAGATTAAATGTGAAATTTATAGTCTCAGTAATCACTCTAGTTAGATCTGATATTTATAATTAACTATCTCTTAGACTGACCGTGTGACCGTGTCTGGAACCAGAACCAGATTTTTTGATAGTTTCATTACCAATTTGACTGATCCCATTACACGGTTTTAACATTAGATAGTAGTCTCATACTGTCTCAGTGAGACTTACTGTCTACTCTTATCACATTTTTCAAATGAGACCATGATTTTCACTTCTCAATTTAAATTATTTTTATTGCTTTAAATGACTTTAAATCTCATTTGAGCGTTACCAAAAAGTGTTACTTTTTAAAAAATTAAAAATAGTCTAAAAAAAACCTTAAAATGTCTAAAAATAGTAACTTTATGTCAAGAATGGGACTAAATGAGATCAAATGAGACCACTTTCTTATTTTTTTCAAGTCATGATTTCATTTTAAGATCTGATATATAGTCACTTTACATGTTTTTTTGATAGCCAGTCCCAGCGGGATTCACGCCAAGAAATGTATGAGATCAGATCAAATGAGATCAAATGTAAAATTCATGATTCTGACAGTCAGTCTACTATCTCTTATATTTTAACTGATATCTGTATAAGATATATTGAGTAGTATTGAAGCATGTTCTATATTATATCAAGAAGATGAAGAATTATGATATATTGTATAAGAAAAAGATAGAAGATAGTCTAAGTTCTATAATATATTATAATTCAGACTGAGCAGAAGCAGATTCTTAATATAAATTAACTACTGACTATATTATATTAATTAACAGATTATCAATTTTATAACAGTTACAGAGACAGACATCTATTACTAAATTAATCACAGAAGCTGAATATATTACAGCTAGTAAGACAGCTTGTAAGATAATATAATTGAATGATATATTATATAACACTGAGTTGATAAATAATGAAAAAGTGAAAATATGCTTTATATTTATAAGTGAATAATAAGAGAGTAATTAATCTAGTGAAAGAAAAGTTCTTAATATAAAGATTATATTATATTAAGATTAAATATTATATTCTTTATAATTTAGTTGAAAAAGAGAAAATTATGATGAAACATGTTAATTCTACAGTAAATATAGCTGACAGTCTTATTAAGTCACTGATAAAGCCTGCATTTGAAGAATTTATTAAAAGAATTGATTTGAAAGAGATCAGAAAAGAATAATTAAATGATAATAATAATACAGTGAATCAATGAATTTTGCATATATTTCTTGATTTTTACAGTTATTGCTGTACAGATGCCTTTTCTAATAAGAAAATCAGAGTCTGATTGATGTAATTAATTATTGTGTTTTTGAAAGATTTGAGAATGAGAAAGGCTCTGAGTGACGGCTTATAGATTACAGTATAGCAAGAGAGAGTGTTAGTGATTACTACATTTACTCTTGAAGAATAACATTGTTATGTTGTAATCTAACTACACAAGTTACACTAAATGAATAGGTTGAGGTGGCACGTGACTAGAGTAGATGTAGTAATCATCAACACTCTTCCTTGCTACATCATGATCTATAAGCCGTCACCCGGGGCCTTTCTCATTCTCAAATCTTTTGAAAATGCAATAATAATTAATTACATCAATCAGACTCTGATTTTCTTATTAGAAAAGGCATTCATATAGTAATAACTGTAAAAATCAAGAAATACATGTAAAATTCACTGATTCACTGTATTATTATTATCATTCAATCATTTCTTTCTGATCTCTTTCAAATCAATTCTTTTGATAAAATCTTCAAACACAGGCTTTGTCAGTGGCTTGGTGAGCTTATCAGCTATGTTTACTGTAGAATCAACATGTTTCATCATGATTTCTTCTTTTTCAATCAAATTGTGAAGAATATAATATCTAATCTCAATGTGATATGATCTTTGTGTTAAGAATTCTCTCTTTGCTAGATTGATTGCTCTCTTATTATTAACTCATAGATACAAGCATATTTTCGCTTTTTCATTATTCATCAACTCAGTGTTATATAACAGGTTGTATTATCTGTTATACTCAATCAATAACTTGCACTCTCTCTAGTGAGAATGTCATTTCTGTTGAAAAGTGTTTTTCCACTCTCTGCCAGATTGATGAAGAATCTCATTACTGGCTTAACAGCTCATGTCATAGATGTGAAGGTTGAACATGTCATTTTTGCCTGGATATAAACTTTGTAGAATGATAAAGCTCATTAATCAATAATTCTCATCTCTAGATATAAGTCTGCTGCTATTTTTACAATATCTGCAGAATTTAGATGTTCTAGCTTTTAATGTCATTGCATCATCATAAGTTTGAATCAAGTCTTGATATATAATCAGTCTTTTCATCTCATAGATATCATTCTCATTTAATTTTACTGTAAATGAGAATATGTAATCAGGAGATATAATCAACATAGCATAATTATTCTCATATATTAACTGCTTATAGGTATAACTCTGATATACAAGCTTGCTCATACTCATGAGATTCACTTCTAGCTTCAGAACATAGCAGACATTATTTAACAGTATATCTGTTTCTTTCACTGAAATCTTCATATCTTTTATAGCTGTAGCAGAGATCACTGTTTCATCTATCATTTTCAACATTACTTTCATCTTCTGAGATTTTGCCATGACAAGATCTCTGTGAGATGTGATGTGAGTATCTGATTCAGAGTCTAGAATTCAGATATCTTTTTCTATCTAATCACTCACATAGGTCTTTTTCTTGATACAAAATACTTACTTTATAATATTGTGAACAGAAGCAGCATCTATATTCTCTGCATTCTTGTCTTTATTGTTATTCTTATCATGACTAGTAGAGTGTTTTTCAGAAAATTTCAATTAGTAATCTGTTTGAATGTGACTAATCTTCTGACAATAGTAACATATTTTAATAGTATTATTACTCTTTCTATTCAGCTTGATGAAATCTTTATTCTTATTCTCAGAGACCTTCTCCTTCTTCTTATCTTGAGTGTTATTTATAGAGGTCTTTTCATTGAAGATAAGAGGTTTGCCAGTAGCTGGCAATTGTAGAAGAATATCTTGACATAATTTCATAAAATTATCTTTGAGTGTTCTAGCATTCTTATTCTTCTCTATTACATTCATTCAATTCTTTATAAAAGATGATCAATCTTTACTAATCTCTGTAAGAAGTCTGTGAAAAAACATGAAATTTTCAATATTATATCTCAATCAGATATAATCAGTTCTGATTACAATTAAATATTTGATAAATACACAATCAGAATTCTTTGATTTTAACATTATCTTAATCAATTCTTAGAACAGACAAGTTCTGTAAATAGCAGGTCTCTCAGTGAAATTATTCTCTATAATAGACTATAGAGAATAAGCAGATAGTTGAGACTTCTTGAGTATAATAAAGTGAGATTTAATCTGCAGAGTAATTACAGATTATATATAATTATATAGTCAGATATTTCATTCTAATTAAAAATATTGTATATTTATACTGACATTCTTATCAGAATTAATCTGTTTATTATTAAGAATATTATCTATTTCAAATTATATTACTATAAGCAGAATCTTTTCTTTTCATATAGAATAATTTACAGAGTTAATAAGTATAACAGACTTCTTTATAAATCTTACTTAATCTCTGAATTTATTAAGAATCTTTATTAATACAGATATTCTACTCTTCTATTAAAGATAGTTTATTAAATCTGTACTAAACTCTTCATTTTTACTTCTATCTATCTTTATTCACTTAACTTCATGCTGAAGTCTTGCAATTTCTAGTCTTATATAAGTCTTCTCACTTACATAGTCATTGTCATTTCAGTTACTTAAGCTCTCTATATTATCTAATATCTCACTGATATCTTTAACTGAGTCTTTATATTTATTATTGAACTTGTCAGACTGTTCTTCTATAATTGTATTATCTGGCTCAAACATCTCAGAAGCTGTCTTTCAATTCATTATTAATATTGACAGTGATCTGTGATCTTGCATTTACTACTCTGATGTTTTCTCATTTCTCTGTCTTAAAGACATGTATTCTTTTATTAAGTCAGACATTCTCTCAGATCTTAGATTAATCATGAGTTCAATCACTCAATAAATCATCTAGGCACACTTGTAATGATGCGTGAAGATGTCAATTTAACACATTGTTGCAGTTATTCATTGCTTGCGAAGGGCTTCATAACCTCTTGAAGGATAATGTTGTTATGTTGTAATCTAACTACGCGAGTTACACTAAATGAATAGGGTTTGGGGGTGGCACGTGACTAGGGTAGGTGTAGTAATCACCAACACCTACCCTAGTCACGTGCCACCCCAACCTATCTACTAGGTAAAAGCGGGGCCTTCCGACTATCGCAATTGAGATAATGATCCTCTACACGGTGACTGTACTTATTGAATTGCTCCAAGAAGAACTCCAATTCACTGACGAGGCCAGGCACCACAATTGAATCACATACAGAGTACAGTCTGCAACGAGGGACTTATTAAAAGTCAGCACGAAAGGTCAAAGCGTGTTAGTGCCTGAGGCAGCAAAAAACTCGACCCACAGTGGTGAGAAGCATCCAGGTGCGCATTTCCTTGTAACAGTTCGTTCCACGTGTCAGACGGCGGCCGCTTTGCTTCGTTGACTTCGATTCCGGGTCATTCGATTATCTACTGAAACCGCTTTCTACAGGGGATGGAAGAAACAATCGCCGAGTTACGACTCCAACTTGAAGAACAGAGGCAGGCGCGAGAAGAAGCGGAGCGCCGAGAAGAGGAAGAGAGAAAAGCGCGAGAAGAGGCAGAAGAGCAACTGCAACCCAATACACTACTACGCCTCCTCGATCGCTGCCACCATTCTCTGTCTCAAGCGATCAAAGTTGAGACGGATGCGACCCTCACAACCCAGGGCGACGCGACCGACCCAGTAAACCGACTCTACCCCAAGCACATCATCCCTTGGCTTGGTTTTCCGGAACTACAGGAACAAGTCTGGGAGAAATTCGACCGCACCGCTGCGTTTACCTCGCGCCCGCTATTCCCTTCTGATACCCAAATCGATTATGTTGTTACGAATATCCAGAACGGATCGATCTATTCAGAAGCGTCACTTCGGAATTTTGAGCGAGACACGGTGGATAACTTTGTCGAAAAGGTCATTAACGCTTTGCGAGACGATGAACCCCTTCGACATGAGTTTGGAATCCAAGGCCGAGTCACCTTCTACGATCGCGCAAACCCATCGGAAACCTTGCTGGAGAACAGCCTGGAGCAAATGAACCTTCAGGACGCGCGGACACCCCAACGACCGGCGAACACTAGGCATGGAGGGTGCAGAGGAGGGGGAAGAGGCGGGGGAAGAGGAGCGGCGCAGAGACAGAAGAGGGATGGCACTGCACGAAGACGCAATCGGCGTGCGGACCAGTTCTGCGTGCACCTAGTGGCTGATGAACGACAAATACCAGTGTATGCAGTGGAGTTCAAAGCGCCGCACAAGGTGACAGTCCCCGAATTAGTGTCGGGTCTACACCAGATGGATCTGGCTCGCGATGTCATCGACCAAGAAGGTGACACATTTGAATTTTATGCCACCCGTCTTGTCGCCGCCGTGGTCACTCAAATATTCTCATACATGATCGATAGTGGAGTTCGATACGGCTACATCTGCACAGGGGAGGCCTTTGTTTTCCTGCATATCCCGGAAAATGACCCCACGATTGTTCAATATTTCTTGTGTATCCCGAATAAAGACGTGCGGCCGGACGATGAATTGCGCCTCCACCGGACCGCCATCGGCCAGGTGCTTGCGTTCACCCTTCAAGCGCTGGCCGCAGAAACTCCCCGTCAAGAGTGGTACGACATGGCACACAACAAGCTAACGACCTGGGAGGTTGAATACCTCGACGTGTTGAAGGAAATTCCTGAAACTCTACGTAAAGACCCGAGGTCCTCTAATTATCGGCCCTCGCATTGGAAACGAGATCGGAAAGTACACAACACACGCTCTCGCGCACGCTGTCAGCCAGATTCATCTACACCAAAGCACTCGTCGCCCGAAGGCAGTGACAGTGATCAAGAATCGCAATCGCCATCCGCCGCAGCAGCGTCGCGTAGCCGATTAAGCCGCAGCCGAGGTAACAACCGTCAATCAACGAAGGGAAGCGAAAGGGCACGAGCCGGCCGGGACAAAAAACAGACTTCTCAAAAAGACGGGCATTCTACTCGACCATACTGCACCATTGCCTGCATCCGTGGCATGGTCAACCGTGAACCTCTGGATAAAAAATGCCCCAACTGGAAACTCCACGGTGGTCAGAGACATTCTATGGGACCGCAGGTGTTCACACGCCAGCTTCACCATCAACTTGTCCGAAACCGAGACCTAGGCTTCGAGCAATTGCACATCTGTGGTCGGACAGGCTATCTCATGAAAGCTACCCTTCTATCACACGGATACACTGTGATCATTAAAGCTACCACAGTGGAGAAGGAGCATCGCCTTCAAACGGAGGTGAACAATTATCGTTACCTCAGGAGCTTGCAAGGGCATCAGATTCCCGTCTATCTTGGAGTCTTTCAGCCACGGGTCGCGTATTGGTACCATGGTGAATTAATGTCGCAGATGATGATTCTGAGCTGGTCTGGAACGCGGCTTCAGCATGTTATCAACGATGAGAATTCTAGCTTCTTTTACCAAGAGCGCGACAAAGCTCTAGCCGTGCTCCGATCGCACGGAGCTGTCCACAGCGACGGCGAGTGGCGCAATATGCTATGGGATGATCTGGGTGGGCGTTTGATTGTCATTGACTTGGAGGACATGAGATGGTTGAAGCGTCCTCGAACTCTAGAACCAATATCTGGAAACATGTGGCGTGCTCATCGCGTTGGGACGGAGGAAAAGCAGGCAAAGCCTCCTGTCCAACTCAACTGTCTGCATATGACGGTCCACGAATCCATAGGTCGACTGCGTTAGGTGACTCGGTTTGTATCTGCCCCACCAGGTCATGGAGTTGAAGGGAAATTTTTTATTTTTCTTCCATTTCGGCGCTACCACTGAATGGGCCGCTGTGGGATTAGCGCCTAAAACCCTTTGGATCGGCCGGGGAGGACAATATCTACTATAATTTAACAATCGCCAAGATACTCTTAAAAACCGCGTCACTCAACTGACCAAGCACCCTCTGCCACTCCTGGCTAGTGAAATTCCCTGTCCGCTCCTAGTCAGACCTAAATTGACAAGAACTCTGTAGAATGGTGGTAAATTTTCCAGAGATTTGACACTGAAGTGACTCATGATTGACTTTATTTACAGCTCAATGATAAAAATTGTAATGTTCAATATTATCTTCAAATCAAGCATTTCAATCTAACTCTTTAAGTGTCTGTTAACTTGACTATATATAAGTTATCAGTAATAATGAATGAAGCTCATAATCATATATTATGCAATTAAAACACTGAAGAAGAGAGATGTTAATAATCTCAATCTTTCAGCAGAGTAGAAGAGAGAAACTGAATTTTAAAACTCAGAGCTGTTAAATAAACTTCAGTGTAAAATTAATATTAATAAATACTTTATTACTAGACTGACTGTGTGACTGTGTCTGAGATCAGAATTAAACTTTATAGTTATTATATTATTTAAAAGCATTACTTCTGATTATAATTTATGTTTATTACAGTAATTTCAAATCATGTTATTTTAAATATTAAAGATCTCAGATTCACTTTTCAAATAAAAATCTAGTCTTAAATAAAGAATATATTTGAATTTTTAATCACATTTTTATTCTGATCTTATTATTAAGAATAGTATTAAATAAAATTATAAAATCATTTCTTACTTATATAATATTATTACATAGTACTCATTTATTGAAAATTTAATAGACAGTATTATTAAATATTATTACTTTTCTAAATATAGATTATAATTTATATAATTTTAATTAGAAAAAAATATAAAATACAAAAAAAATAAAAAAATAAAAAATAAAATAAAAACAAGAAAAAATTATAATGAAAAAAAAATAAAAAGAAAAAAAAATAAAAGAAAAAGAAAAAAATAAAAAATAAAAAGAAAAAAAATCAAGATTATAAAGTTATAGTACTTTTAAAATACTTACTTCTCAGAGTCTTTATAATATTTATTATTAACTGTGTATTTCTTATAGTAAGAGTAACACAGCTGTAATAAGTTATTATCTTAATATTATCTAATAAATAATCAGTATATATTTGTATAAATATGAATAATTAAAAATATATACTTAAAAAGTATAATCAGAATAAACTCTGCTATTACTTAAATAATATTAAGAATAGAATACTGAAATTAATAATTCTTTTCATTAATTTTATAAATAAGATATATGAAGATAATCTTAAGAAATATAAAATTCTATAACCTCTGATAAAAATAAATCTTACAGAAAGACTCTATTTTCATAATATCAGAGACTGAGTATTATTAAAAAGTGTTACTTTTATACAATATATATATACTTACTACAGTGCTTTATTCTCTGTATATGTGACTAAGAGTTATAGCTTTTTCATATTACACAGCTCTTTCTAAAATGCTGTTACTGATTTATAACTTATACAGTCTCTTAGTTCAGTATATACTATATATATATAGTTTTATATACTGAGGCCATGTTAATTATTATAATCTGATATAGTACTCACTTTTCACAGATCATATTTCATTTAATTAAGAGAGAAGAAAGAGAGAACACAACTGCTATTTTATTTAAAGAGAGAATGAGTAATTAAATCTGTAAAAGATAATTTAATTTCTTCTATATTTAAAATTTAATTAGTTTATACTCTTTAATTTAAGAGTTTCTAAGCCAGCGTGGCTCAGTTGATAAGACTGGTAATCAAGGCCGCATACATTAGAGATGTGTGAGTTCGAATCCCATCACTGGCATCTGCTACTTCTTACTCATGAAAGTCCTCATATAATAGAGACTGAGTCTAATTAGTAAGACTTAGTATGAGGTAGAACTCTCTACTGCAAGTCAAGTTACTAGTTAAGTGAGATTCTGTGAACACTTATCAGAGCTAGTATGAGATGTCAATGTCTCACTATTCTACTGTACACTTATCAAGGTTCTAATGATATAGAGTCAAGTCTAATGTAGTGATTATACACTACTTAAACAAGTCTCTAACTAGAACTGTCATTGAAGCCTAGCTTCTCTCTAAATATAGAGAATGATTTTAAAAATCATCTGACTAGCAGATCTAGACATGTATCTAGACTTTAGATAGAGCACTCTGATAGGCTAGAGCCTGCAAGCTCACTGTCAGTCTCTAATACTAGCAGAGAGAACTGCAGTCATCAAGTCTATGATTAGTTTCTAACACAGAGTGAGGTTATGACAGCTGATTGATAGGTCTATGAGCATCTAATAAGACTGAGATCAGCAATCAGAAGCTTGATATGTACATTATCAAGTGAGCAGTGACAGTCACTAACTAACATCTCTAGAAATTAGTGACTGGCCTGAGAGAATGAACACAGTGATCGGTTAATTATAGAGAGTTAAATGTAATTAGCTTAAGATGCATTCTGCGGGTGGCTAGCGCCCGTAGTTCTCTGATAGTCAAGCTGCTTTAAAAAGACTTAGAAATAGTCAGATTCATAATAATCAAATGAATCTTGAACTGATCTTAAACTCTGTTTTGAAAATTCAAAAGAGAAGAATATCAAAGCTGATAATTCATCTGCACTAAGTTCCTGCTCATATGAATATTCATGATAATGAATTAACTGATTCAGCTGTAAAAAAGAATGCAGAATTAAGCAGATCTATTCAAAAAATTATATTCTGATCTTTTATAAAGAGAAAAATAAAAGAATCTTATTTAAATAAGTGAAATGAAAGCTGACAGAAACAAAAGAAGAGTATACATTATTCAAGATTTGAAACAAAACTCAAGTAAAAATCTTGTTCAATTAAATATAAAAAGAAAATATTCTCATCTATAATACAGCTGAAACTAGAACATGGCTATTTCAAATCTTATATACAAAGATTTAATGATAGATTTAACTCAATAGAATGCTTATTCTATAATATAAATAAGAATTCTGAGCATATTGTAATGCACTGTGTATTATATAATAGTCTCAGAGTCAGATTGAAAGAGAAGTATAATCTAAATCAATTAAATATGAGATTCTTATTCTCAACTGAGACAGAAATTAAATACTTAATAGACTTTCTATCAGAAACTCAAGCAGCTATAAGAAAATGACTAAATTCAGAATTATCTGAATATGAAGAGAAGAAAATTAATCAGATATAGTCTGTTAAAACAGCTATACACTCTCTTTTAATAATTTGTTTTATTATAGTCTCTCTTTACTTTATCTTTTTCTTTATCTTTTTCTTTCAATTTCTTTCTATCTATCTATTTAATGTGTCTATCTTTGAGACTGTGTTCTTTTTCTCTTTTCTTTTGTCATGATATTGTCAAATGATTTCAAAGTATTAAAAGATGTTAAAACACTGCAATTTGTAAACAGTTTTTGTATTCTGAGCTGGAATTTTCTGATTTTGTATATCTGAAATTGATGAATGTATAATAGTTAACTTTACAGACATAGAAAAAACCCTGAGAACTAAAGTTCTCAGATAGATGTCATAGTCTCTGACTGCATACATCTATAATTGAAGAATAATAATAATAATAATAATAATTAAGAGTTTCTAAGAGTGTTTTAATAGTTTTCATATCAGCTTGAAATTAGTAATTGATTGAAGAAGAGAAAAGAGAGAAGAAAGAAATAAGAATAACTTATCTTTATAATATAAAAACAGAGAATTATTACAATTATTTACTCTAGTAATAAAGATCTGTTTTCTATATATATCTCTGATACAGATTATATAATAACTGTATACAAAGAATATTAACAGTATATGTATTAAATGAAGATACTATTACTATATAATACTGTAGCTGTTTCTATACATCTCTGAAAGCTGTTAATATTTTCTTTAAGTCTTTTTATATTTGATAAGTTAGTAATATATTTTAATACACTTTCTCTTTTATTATTATTATTATCATCATTATCATCATTATCATTATTATTATCATTATTACTATTATCATCATTATTAACATTATTATTATTATTATTATTATTATATTATTTCTGACTGTCTCTTCTATCTTTATCTCTCTTTAATACTTACTAAAATTAATTATATTATCTCTCTTTAAATATTCTGCAGTTCTGTGAATTATCAAGGCATGTAAGTACTGTCACAGATGAAGGAGAGAGAAGAAGAAGATATTTAAGTAAAAAAAGACAGATTGTAAGATATATTATAATATCTTAAAGAGACTTTATAAAAGAGTAAAATAATAATGATTTTAAGTAATACTTCTGATAGATTTAGACTGAACTAAGTATAGAAATAATACAGATAACATTATCTATAAAAGATTGAAAAAGAAGACAGTGAAAAGTCTTATACAGTAGCAGTGAAATCAGAAGAAGTTCTCAGAATAATTTAAGATTAAGATAAAGAGAGAGAGAGAGAAGAAGAGTATTACTATAAATAAGTAATAGTAGAAGAAGATTAAGAGAGTATTAAAGTAAGAGATAAAGAAGTTAAAACTGATAAGTTTTTTATTTATTAAGAGATAATGATTTTTAATAATACTTCTGTTCTCTAATTAATTAGCAGAAGCTGATAGAGAAGAAGAAGATTAAGATCTTATTCAGATCTTAAATGCACTTCATAATTCAGAATATTAAGAAGACAGCTCTGCTCTCTAAGTATATCAATCTGCTTATCACTGAGATAGAATCTAAGACAGTAGATCAGAAAATACAGGATTTTAAAATACAGATTAATCTGACTGAGAGAAAGTAGCAGAAACTCTTCTCTAAGAAGATAGTAAAGAGAGATTTTGAAATAGTTATTATCTTGAATGAGAAGAAGAAGAAGAAGAATGAGAATAAGAAGTAAATTATAAAGAATAATAAGAAGAATAACGCTCGATTTTTTGAATAAGAACCCGCCGATAGATCCATCGAAAAGCCCTCGATCATACAAGCATTTTGACCCCATCGCCGACCGCATACCCCGTGTGGTGGTGGAGTTATCCAGCCAAACGTGAACCAGACGTTGTTCGAAACTCCTGTGTGGGATTATCCCCCGTTCTCCCCTATCACACCACAACCCCGGGCCAAATTGCCATACAAATTGTAAGGTGAAAAGACCTAGCCATATGCACCAATCTTCTCGATTTTGGAAGATCCCCGATCTGTAATTGTGGAGATATCTGAGGAGCGACATCCGCGAAAACCCTGTCCATCTTTGATGTTCCAAAACATCAATGCCAAGTCCCACCCTCGTACCGCCCTTCCCAATCTGGCCCATCCCCGGCAGAAAAATACAAAAAAGATACCTCGGCAATAATATCAAGCACATAATCAATGGACACTTCTGAAGTGCAACCTCCGTGAATACCCTGTCT